TGGGGGTTATATCTTGCAACTGGGGGTTATATCTTGCAACTGGGGTTTTATATCTTGCAACTGGGGTTTTATATCTTGCAACTGGGGTTTTATATCTTGCAACTGGGGTTTATATCTTGCAACTGGGGTTTATATCTTGCAACTGGGGTTTATATCTTGCAACTGGGGTTTTATATCTTGCAACTGGGGTTTATATCTTGCAACTGGGATTTAATATCTTGCAACTGGGGTTTAATATCTTGCAACTGGGGTTTTATATCTTGCTACTGGGGTTTATATCTTGCAACTGGGGTTTATATCTTGCAACTGGGGTTTATATCTTGCAACTGGGGTTTAATATCTTGCAACTGGGGTTTTATATCTTGCAACCGGGGGTTTAATATCTTGCAACTGGGGGTTATATCTTGCAACTGGGGTTTATATGTTGCAACTGGGGGTTATATCTTGCAACTGGGGGTTGATATCTTGCAACTGGGGTTTAATATCTTGCAACTGGGGTTTATATCTTGCAACTGGGGTTTATATCTTGCAACTGGGGTTTAATATCTTGCAACTGGGGTTTAATATCTTGCAACTGGGGTTTATATCTTGCAACTGGGGTTTATATCTTGCAACTGGGGTTTAATATCTTGCAACTGGGGTTTTATATCTTGCAACTGGGGTTTATATCTTGCAACTGGGGTTTATATCTTGCAACTGGGGTTTATATCTTGCAACTGGGGTTTATATCTTGCAACTGGGGGTTATATCTTGCAACTGGGGTTTTATATCTTGCAACTGGGGTTTTATATCTTGCAACTGGGGTTTATATCTTGCAACTGGGGTTTATATCTTGCAACTGGGGTTTTATATCTTGCAACTGGGGTTTATATCTTGCAACTGGGGGTTATATCTTGCAACTGGGGGTTATATCTTGCAACTGGGGTTTTATATCTTGCAACTGGGGGTTATATCTTGCAACTGGGGGTTATATCTTGCAACTGGGGGTTATATCTTGCAACTGGGGTTTATATCTTGCAACTGGGGGTTATATCTTGCAACTGGGGTTTATATCTTGCAACTGGGGTTTTATATCTTGCAACTGGGGGTTATATCTTGCAACTGGGGGTTATATCTTGCAACTGGGGTTTTATATCTTGCAACTGGGGGTTATATCTTGCAACTGGGGGTTATATCTTGCAACTGGGGTTTAATATCTTGTAACTGGGGTTTTATATCTTGCAACTGGGGGTTATATCTTGCAACTGGGGTTTAATATCTTGCAACTGGGGTTTAATATCTTGCAACTGGGGTTTATATCTTGCAACTGGGGTTTAATATCTTGCAACTGGGGTTTATATCTTGCAACTGGGGTTTATATCTTGCAACTGGGGTTTAATATCTTGCAACTGGGGTTTATATCTTGCAACTGGGGTTGATATCTTGCAACTGGGGGTTATATCTTGCAACTGGGGTTTATATCTTGCAACTGGGGTATAATATCTTGCAACTGGGGTTTAATATCTTGCAACTGGGGTTTAATATCTTGCAACTGGGGTTGATATCTTGCAACTGGGGTTGATATCTTGCAACTGGGGTATAATATCTTGCAACTGGGGTTTAATATCTTGCAACTGGGGTTTAATATCTTGCAACTGGGGTATAATATCTTGCAACTGGGGTTTAATATCTTGCAACTGGGGGTTATATCTTGCAACTGGGGTTTAATATCTTGCAACTGGGGGTTTATATCTTGCAACTGGGGTATAATATCTTGCAACTGGGGGTTTATATCTTGCAACTGGGGTTTAATATCTTGCAACTGGGGTATAATATCTTGCAACTGGGGTTTATATCTTGCAACTGGGGTTTAATATCTTGCAACTGGGGGTTTATATCTTGCAACTGGGGGTTATATCTTGCAACTGGGGTTTAATATCTTGCAACTGGGGTTTAATATCCTGCAACCTCAGTCTATATCTCTTGCAACTATCTGTATTCTATACTGACGCTGCACTTCACTTCTGTTTGCACATTTCTGCAATTAATGCAACATTGAAAACGGGTTACCTTACCTTGAGGTTACCTTGAGGTGCTTCCGGGGCTTAGCGTCCCCGCGGCCCGGTCGTCGACCAGGCCTCCTGGTTGCCGGACTGATCAACCAGGCTGTTGGACGCGGCTGCTCGCAGCCTGACGTATGAGTCACTATGGTTAAAGCTATGTGTGTATGCAACCCTTTCTCTCTCCACTCATAGGTGACATTATGCACTCTAAGTCAAAAACGTTACAAATGCAGCCTACTATGAACAGCTCACAAATATCTCCGTTTTCCATGCATCGGACTCAAGGGGGGTTAGAGGGGTTGCTTGGGTTCGTATGCTTCTGGTTAGGTTAAAAGGTTGTTTTTTGTACGGAGTGGTCCAGATAAAAAATTTTTGTGTGTGTTTTGCGTCCTAGATCAATAATGTTGTTGTGTTTTGCGTGCCAGTCGGCCGAGCGGACAGCACGCTGGACTTGTAATCCTGTGGTCCCGGGTTCGATCCCAGGCGCCGGCGAGAAACAATGGGCAGAGTTTCTTTCACCCTATGCCCCTGTTACCTAGCAGTAAAATAGGTACCTGGGTGTTAGTCAGCTCTCACGGGCTGCTTCCTGGGGGTGGAGGCCTGGTCGAGGACCGGGCCGCGGGGACACTAAAGCCCCGAAATCATCTCAAGATAACCAGCAGACTTAGTACAGCGTCTCTAGTATTTCCATCCAGGCGTGCTTGTCTTATGCCAGGTCTGGGGTATGGGCAAATCATGCCCAAACGGTTCGACAAAGCTCGTTTACAGCGTGTTAAAACCCCGTATTATGACAGTTATACGGTTAGGTTAGGGTTTAGTTACGATGCGGTTAGGTTAAATTAGGTTTAGCAAGGCCGGGTTTAGATTGGGTTCAGTTTTAAAATCCATTTTGGCGACCCATCTTGTGGGTACGAAGTGGCGGGTTATATCATCCTACCCAAGGCGATGTATCCTGCGGCCCGAGTCGTAGCTTGGGATCGAACTCTCTGCGGTCGGACGGGAGTAGAATCCCAGAGCCCCTACGGCCACTGGGGGTCCGTAGGCCTCCCCAGGGGACCATGGGGGCCCTAGAGATACCCATGAGGCAATGACAGGAGGCCTGTGATTGGAGGAAAGTACGATGACGTCAATCATTTTGTTTGACGTCATTTATGACGTCATGGACCCGGTCAGTGACGTCATAAAGGAGTCATAGACTCAGTTATGACGTCACAGACCTGGCACTAATTGGTGCCAGCCCCGGGTTCGATTCCCGCTACAGGACCTGGGGGGGGGGAGGCTCCATAAGCCTAACAGAATTCCTGTCCACGACAATTGGTAATTAACAGCAAAAATAATTGGTTAAGGTCGCTCTCGACAGTGTCAAGGTCGTCCTCGACAGTGTCAAGGTCGTCCTCGACAGTGCCAAGGTCGTCCTCGACAGTGCCAAGGTCGTCCTCGACAGTGTCAAGGTCGTCCTCGACAGTGCCAAGGTCGTCCTCGACAGTGTCAAGGTCGCCCTCGACGTGTCATGGTCGTCCCCGACAGTGTCATGGTCGTCCTCGACAGTGTCAAGGTCGTCCTCGACAGTGCCAAGGTCGTCCTCGACAGTGTCAAGGTCGCCCTCGACGTGTCATGGTCGTCCCCGACAGTGTCATGGTCGTCCTCGACAGTGTCAAGGTCCTCTTCGACAGTGTCAAGGTCCTCGACAGTGCCAAGGTCGTCCTCGACAGTGCCAAGGTCGTCCTCGACAGTGCCACAGGTACTGTGAAAGATTGGTACAATGAGAAATAGGTACACTAAGATATAGATAGTGAGAAATAGGCACAGCAAGAAATAGGCACAGCGGGAAATAGGCACAGCAAGAAATAGGCACAGCGGGAAATAGGCACAGCAAGAAATAGGCACAGCAAGAAATAGGCACATCAAGAAATAGGCACAGTGAGAAATAGGCACAGTGAGAAATAGGCACAGCAAGAAATAGGCACAGTGGGAAATAGGCACAGCAAGAAATAGGCACAGCGGAAAATAGGCACAGCAAGAAATAGGCACAGTGAGAAATAGGCACAGTGAGAAATAGGCACAGCAAGAAATAGGCACAGCAAGAAATAGGCACAGCAAGAAACAGAGACAGCGAGAAACAGGCACAGCAAGAAATAGGCACAGCATGAAATAGGCACAGTGAGAAATAGGCACAGTGAGAAATAGGCACAGCAAGAAATAGGCACAGTGAGAAATAGGCACATTGAGAAATAGGCACAGTGAGAAATATGCACAGTGAGAAATAGGCACAGCAAGAAATAGGCACAGTGGGAAATAGGCACAGTGGGAAATAGGCACAGCAAGAAATAGGCACAGCGGAAAATAGGCACAGCAAGAAATAGGCACAGTGAGAAATAGGCACAGTGAGAAATAGGCACAGCAAGAAATAGGCACAGCAAGAAATAGGCATAGCAAGAAACAGAGACAGCGAGAAACAGGCACAGCAAGAAATAGGCACAGCATGAAATAGGCACAGTGAGAAATAGGCACAGTGAGAAATAGGCACAGCAAGAAATAGGCACAGCAAGAAATAGGCACAGCAAGAAATAGGCACAGCATGAAATAGGCACAGCAAGAAATAGGCACAGCAAGAAACAGAGACAGCGAGAAACAGGCACAGCAAGAAATAGGCACAGCATGAAATAGGCACAGCATGAAATAGGCACAGCAAGAAATAGGCACAGCAAGAAATAGGCACAGCAAGAAATAGGCACAGTAAGAAATAGGCACAGTGAGAAATAGGCACAGTGAGAAATAGGCACAGCAAGAAATAGGCACAGCAAGAAATAGGCACAGCAAGAAACAGAGACAGCGAGAAACAGGCACAGCAAGAAATAGGCACAGCATGAAATAGGCACAGCAAGAAATAGCCACAGCAAGAAATAGGCACAGCGAGAAATAGGCACAATGAGAAATAGGCACAAAGAACTGGCTTACCTGGCTCCACGTAGGTCTACGCCCACCACCTTATCGTAGGTTGGAGTGAATCGACAATTCAACACTGCGAATGAGACATAATAGGTTAGCATAGGTCTGTGTGGATGAATTAAGACTTTATATCAATGGGCTAAACAACTGAAGCACCGAGACGCAAGGCTGAGGGTAAAAAAATGTAAAAAAAAAATGTAAAAAAATGTAAAATGTAAATATGTCAAAAAAATGGCTTCGGTAGAAGCTACCGAAGCCATTTTTGGCTTCCTGTTGGCTTCATACTTCATGTGAATTCGGTGGTATAGCAGGTCGTGGTGCAGGGGGTCAAGGTATGTGGCTGAGAGTATTCTGAGTCGTGGTTCAAGTCTCTTCAATGTTAATATTTGTTAGATGCTAATATATGTTTGATTTTAATCCATTTGATGTTAATATATGTTTGATTTTAATATATGGTTGATGTTAGTATATGATAATTAGTACGAAACGTGTTGGAAAGGTATTTACGTGTCTATGGGAGAGTTAGTATGAATTTATGGGATAGAAAGTGTATGGGGGGAGTTAATTGGACATCTCTATGGGGGGTTAAAATAATCTACCTCGGTTAGTCTTAACTTGAGCCTAAGATAGGTGAGCCTAAGGTAAGGTCTTAGGTCTAAGGTAAGGTCTAAAGTAAGGACCAGTCTTAGTCTTCACTTAAATCTTTCTTGATCTTAATTATTTTATGTTTGTAATGTGGTTTTTATAATATTATTTCAATGTTATTTTCATAATATTATTTCAATATTTTCATTATATTATTTCAATATTATTTTCATAATATTATTTCAATATTTTCATAATATTATTTCAATATTATTTTCATAATATTATTTCATTATTATTTTCGTAATATGTCATATTAAATCAAAAAATGAATGATAAAGATAGTAAATAAAGAAATATTTATTATATAGTTTTCTATATAATTTACTATTATCTAAAGCTTACTATATATATGGCAGCATAATTGGCACATTAATCATCTCAAGCTCTGCTATTTGTGCTAGATCATAGCATTAGATGTGAGTTTATTAATTTACAGACATTCCAGTTATCAACAAATTAACAGAGCTGCTAGGAATTAGTTAATCTAAAACTACAACAATATGCTGGCATTTAAAGCTTGAAATAAATAAGCAAATAAACACTTGTGATGTAAACATTAACATGCTTAAACATCTTAATTCCCCTATTGCATTAATATCAAGAATCAGCATATGCCTTAAAACACACTAATTTCTATTTTATTTTTTTGGTTAAACTATGTCAAAAGATTGTCATGCAGGGGTTTAAGTAATTGCAATTGCATCAATTTCCTTCTTCCAGGTAATCAACTACGGTGCTATGGATAATGTAACCAACCTGTAGCCTCCTGCTCGTCTTCAAGAGTATCTGGAGTTGAGGAAAGGCAGTTAGATGCTTCAGTTTCTTGCAAGAAAGGTTAGCTTACTGTCTTTATTTTTGGACCCTCAGTCCCCCTGGACTTTATCTTAATTGTAGTTGCATATATGTTGGAGTTTGTATATTAGTTCTATCATTATTATTAGTATTGAGAAACTGTCTATAATGCTAGAGTGCTTAACTGAAGGTGAAGGAAAGACCCAATATAGGTGTGTGCATATATATAATAATAAAAAAAAAAAATATATATATATATATATATATATATATATATATATATATATATATATATATATATATATATATATATCTGTGTTCATTTACACCAACATACCTTCTCCAGCGGAGCCTCCAACGCCACCTACGGAAAAAAAACATATTCTGAGTCATGGTAGTGAGACATGATACATGGTACTGGGGCATGCGATAGGGTACTTGGGAAATAATTACCAAGCTGAAGATATATGGTACTATGTTTAGATACGACACTAGCAGGGGTCAGAAATATGGTTCTCAGGCAATATTCATGGTACTAGGGGTGTGTGAGACATGGTACTAGGGGTGTGTGAGACATGGTACTAGGGGTGTGTGAGACATGGTACTAGGGGTGTGTGAGACATGGTACTAGGGGTGTGTGAGACATGGTACTAGGGGTGTGTGAGACATGGTACTAGGGGTGTGTGAGACATGGTACTAGGGTGAGAATCATGGTAATTGGGAGTGAGATAGATGGACAATAATTGTAACTTGATGATAAACTTACCTCCAGGTACAACGCCCCCACCAACTCCACCTGTGGAAGTATGATTCGTGTCAGAGGGTACAGCATGGTACATGAAGCATGTTTCTAGGGGTACAGCATGGTACATGAAGTATGTTTCTAGGGGTACAGCATGGTACATGAAGCATGTTTCTAGGGGTACAGCATGGTACATGAAGCATGTTTCTAGGGGTACAGCATGGTACATGAAGCATGTTTCTAGGGGTACAGCATGGTACATGAAGCATGTTTCTAGGGGTACAGCATGGTTCTAGGGGTACAGCATAGTACATGAAGCAAGGTTCTAGGGGTACAACATGGTACATGAAGCAAGGTTCTAGGGGTACAGCATAGTACATGAAGCATGGTTCTAGGGGTACAGCATAGTACATGAAGCAAGGTTCTAGGGGTACAGCATAGTACATGAAGCAAGGTTCTAGGGGTACAGCATAGTACATGAAGCATGGTTCTAGGGGTACAGCATAGTACATGAAGCAAGGTTCTAGGGGTACAGCATAGTACATGAAGCATGGTTCTAGGGGTACAGCATGGTACATGAAGCAAGGTTCTAGGGGTACAGCATGGTACATGAAGCAAGGTTCTAGGAGTACAGCATGGTACATGAAGCAAGGTTCTAGGGGTACAGCATGGTACATGAAGCAAGGTTCTAGGGGTACAGCATGGTACATGAAGCAAGGTTCTAGGGATACAGCATGGTACATGAAGCAAGGTTCTAGGGGTACAGCATGGTACATGAAGCAAGGTTCTAGGGGTACAGCATGGTACATGAAGCAAGGTTCTAGGGGTACAGCATGGTACATGAAGCATGGTTCTAGGGGTACAGCATGGTACATAAAGTATGGTTCTAGGAACAAAAATGGTATTTGTGGTGGAGATAAGGTACTAGGGAGGGCGATATGGTACTTTTTGAGAAATTTGGTACGAGACAACATTTCTAACTATATGGTACACGTACCTCCAGGTACCGCACCGGCTCCTCCTCCACCTGCAAATGTATTATAGTCTGAGTCATGGTACTGGGGCATGATACATGGTACTGGGGCATGATATATGTAACTGGGGCATGATACATGGTACTGGGGCATGATACATGGTACTGGGACATAATATATCGTACTGGGGCATGATATATGATACTGGGACATGATACATGGTACTGGGGCATGATATATGGTACTGGGGCATGATACATGGTACTGGGGCATAATATATCGTACTGGGGCATGATATATGATACTGGGACATGATACATGGTACTGGGGCATGATATATGGTACTGGGGCATGATATATGGTACTGGGGCATGATACATGGTACTGGGACATGCTACATGGTACTGGGGTATGATACATGGTACTGGGACATAATACATGGTACTGGGACATGATACATGGTACTAAGACATGATACATGGTACTGGGGCATGATATATGATACTGGGACATGATACATAGTACTGGGGCATGACACATGGTATTGGGACATAATACATGGTACTGGGACATGATACATGGTACTGGGACATAATACATGGTACTGGGAAATAATACATGGTACTGGGATATAAACAATGGCCCTTCAAAAAGTAAGTAAATAAGTAATACAATCGATACAGTTGAATTCGGGACTTACCTCCAACTCCTGGAGTTCCACCGAAGCCTCCAGCTCCTCCGAAGAGTCCTCCACCTCCACCGGTTCCTCCAAATCCACCAGTTCCAGTGCTTCCACCCGTTCCTCCAAAGCCGCTTCCAAAGAGGCCTCCTCCTCCTCCATTTGAACCTCCGGTTACTCCTCCACCTCCGGTTCCTCCGAAGAGACCGGTTCCTCCTCCACCAGCCCCTCCAAATCCACCAGTCCCACCTCCAGGTCGTCCAAATCCACCAGCCCCAGCACCTCCAAAGCCACCAGTCCCACCTCCTACAGGTCGTCCAACGCCACCAGTCCCTCCTCCTGGTCGTCCAAATCCACCAGCCCCAACTCCTCCAAAACCACCAGTCCCACCTCCTACAGGTCGTCCAAAGCCACCAGTCCCTCCAAGGGTGCCTCCTCCACCAGACTCCCCAAAGCCTGCATCGGAGCCTGCAACTCCTGCAGAACCAGCACCTGTGAGTGTGAGAGGACGGTCTGTGCTTGAGTTCTAAGTTTGAAGTCTGGATGCTGCGTGCTGGCCCTGAACACCGAGAGAGAGAGAGAGAGAGAGAGAGAGAGAGAGAGAGAGAGAGAGAGAGAGAGAGAGAGAGAGAGAGAGAGAGAGAGAGAGAGAGAGAGAGAAAAGGAGAGAGAGAGAGAGAGAGAAAAGGAGAGAAAAGGAGAGAGAGAGAAAAGGAGAGAGAGAGAGAGAAAAGGAGAGAGAGAGAGAGAGAAAAGGAGAGAGAGAGAGAGAGAAAAGGAGAGAGAAAAGGAGAGAAAAGGAGAGAGAAAAGGAGAGAGAGAGAAAAGGAGAGAGAGAGAGAAAAGGAGAGAGAGAGATAGAAAAGGAGAGAGAGAGAGAGAGAAAAGGAGAGAGAGAGAGAGAGAAAAGGAGAGAGAGAGAGAGAAAAGAGAGAGAGAGAGAGAGAGAGAGAGAGAGAGAGAGAGAGAGAGAGAGAGAGAGAGAGAGAGAGAGAGAGAGAGAGAGAATAGCTGAGAGAGAGAATAGCTGAGAGAGAGAAAGAGAGAAAGAAAAGGAGAGAGAGAGAGAAAGAAAAGGAGAGAAAAGGAGAGAGAGAGAGACGATAGATAAGATAGATAGACCGAATAGTTTATACAAACAAGAGACTATCCAGAAATAAGATACCTATACAAGCTAGAGTTACAGAAGGTTTGCAGGGGGGAATACATTTATATAAGCACTACAGTGGCTATCTTCTAACTCTCAGGCAGTGTGCCTGTTTTCGGTTGCTCATTATCCTACTAAAACATATTGAGAGGATAAAAAGGAGAAGCAAAAGAGAGGCATAGAGAAGGAGAAAGGTGAAAAAAAACGACAATTTAAGACTTGAAATTGTGAATCATTTAGGTGTTTTGCGAATATTAAAACTAATGTTATTTTGGATTTATTTTCGGATTATTAAATTGTATTTTCTTCTATTGGTGTTTCTTTTAATTTATTAATTTCATTATTTTTACTTTGATTCAATAATTTGTTTTCCATTTTGATATATACTGAATTAGGTTCTTTTGTCTATCAATACAATTTTTGTTTTTTTGCAAATTTCGTTCTATTTTTAATTTGTTCGGTGTTGTCATGTTCATGTTCATGTCCTCTTGTCATGTTCACTGATAGGTTTGGCCTCAGACTGTCAGCCCCTTCGGCGCCAAGGCCAGCCTCGCCATATCCAACCACGACATGGAACTGTGAATGGAGCCGAGTTATTATTTAAAAACGTTTTTGAAGGGAAGAATGACCTGATATTGCTTAATTAGCCAAAGTTATAACTATATTTTTAAAAGAGAATGTCTGTCTGTCTGTCTGGAGTTTAGACACACGTGGTGAGCCTCGCGTGACTTTGCATGGTGAGTGGTGAGTGAGTTGGGAGTGTCGTAGGGGATACAGCGAAGGTCGACCCGTAAGTAGAAATGTCTCTTCCCTGGAAACACAAACCGAAACTGTCTATTTTCCGCTTGTTACAACTTGTAATAAAGTTGTTACATCTTGGCTTAACGTGTTTATGACGTATTAGAACCTTGTTACAACTTGCTATATTGGTTGTTATAACTGGTTAGGTGTTAAAACTTGTTCCAACGTTGTACCAACGTCGTAGTTTCGGTGTGTGTTTGGCGGGTTATTGCTACAACCAACGTCTTCTATAAAGTTGGTTTTCTACAGAAGTTATGTGTTGTATTTCTATTAAGATCTAACTAAAAAAAGTATGCCCGTATATTTTCATTGTATTTCATAGGCTGAGCAAATTAGTGTTAGTTCCTGTTAGTTTCGTATTTTATTCTCTGCGAATCTCATTAACAATCTTCGATCGTCTGTTATTCAATTCCTGGCTTAAAATTAACTTTTTTTTTTACGATTGATTGGCTAATCAGTCCAATCTGAATGTTAACAGCTTCAGTCACCAGTTTTGAGTAATGTATCCGGTTTTTATTCATTGGGAAAGGGGGACATTAAAGTAAGCCACTATTCTGAAATCAAACTCAAAAGTCACTTCTCTGAAATCAAAGTCAGCCACTAATCTGAGATCAAAGTCAGCCACTAATCTGATATCAAAGTCAGCCACTAATCTGATATCAAAGTCAGCCACTAATCTCAGATCAAAGTCAGCCACTAAACTCGGATCAAAGTCAGCCACTAATCTCAGATCAAAGTCAGCCACTAATCTGAGATCAGTCAGCCACTGATCTGAGATCAGTCAGCCATTGATCTGAGATCAGTCAGCCACTAATCTGAGATCAGTCAGCCTCTAATCTGAGATCAAAGTCAGCCACTAATCTCAGATCAAAGTCAGCCACTATAAGAGGAAAGTCAGCCAATACTTTATGGCTGAAGTCAAAACAAAAAAAATATGTCTGTCCCAGAAGTGCACAAGAGTAAGCTGCACAAGACTGAGAAAAAAGTGAATCTACGTGAGTGTGCACAATACATTGCTAATTGCTCAAGAAATATACAAGAAATGAAGTCAGGAAATACAGTAATACATCTTGCCACTATAATTATACAATATACACTAGGCCTCAACTTAGTCTATATCTTAAGTTATGTTATGATCATTAAGTTATGTCTTAAGTTTAAGTTTAAGTCTTAAGTTATAAGATCATTACTTAAGTGTTGCAAAGAGTTCTTATTTATTGCAAATGACAATTGAACAATCTTGAACTTTTGGAAGACATTCGGCAAATGAATGATATTGACTAAATTGATAATATTTTTACTGGAAACATTTTTAAGTTTTATAGTATCTAATCCCAAATTAAGCCTTAAGTCTAAGTAAATACTGTAGAGGAAGATTTCAAAATTAAACTTAAAGTCTACTGGAATACTGTGGAAAAGTAATCCCATATTAAGCCTTAGGTCTATAGGATTACCGTAGGAGAATAATCCCAAATTAAGCCTTAAATCTATAGAATTACTGCAGAAGAATATTCATAAATTAAGCCTTAAGTCTACTGAAGAATGGTGAAATAATAATCCCAAATTAACCTTAAATCTCCTGGATAATCCCATATTCAGCCTTAAGCATACCGAAGTCTTGCAGGGAAAAAAATGTCCCACATTAAGCTTAAAGTCTACTGAAGTCCTGACAAACAGTCACATACAAGCCAAGATTAAAAGACTGACTCATCAACGAAGTTAGATGACATCAAGAACACGTACATCACAAGTACTGATGTCAGTACATCAGTACTGACGTCATCTCCAGCAGCAGTGGTGGTGATGCTGGAGGGAGGATTGAATAGTTGCTGAGTCGAAGTGGGATTTGCTTGTTTAACCACGTCTGGTACCTGAGAGAGAGAGAGAGAGAGAGAGAGAGAGAGAGAGAGAGAGAGAGAGAGAGAGAGAGAGAGAGAGAGAGAGAGAGAGAGAGAGAGAGAGAGAGAGAGAAGGGGGCCTTGGTAAGGTCTCTTTCTCTGAGGTCTGGGTTTGTTTATGTCTGTGCCTATGTGATAGAGTCTTGTCTATTTTTCTATGCCTCGGTGTCTGTCTTATTTTTCTACCTGTCTGTGTCTGTCTCTATGTTTGTGAGACAAAGAAGAAACCAACACAAGAGAGAGACAGTCAAAAGAAACTCTCTCTCTCTCTCTCTCTCTCTCTCTCTCTCTCTCTCTCTCTCTCTCTCTCTCTCTCTCTCTCTCTCTCTCGTCAGTAATCTTCAGTATTCAGACTTCACCAAAGGCGCTTCTGAGCAGTTCTTCCAAAGTAAACTATCTTTAGAACTATTCCGAGTTATCCAGGTCCATTGTTTGTACTCTCAAACACATTGAAGTCCACCCCTTCAAGAACATCAGAGTCCAGCTCTTCAAGTAGACCAGAGTCCACTCCTTCAAATACCCAGAGAGTACATCCCCATCAAGACGACTAAGAGTCCAAGAGAGTACATCCACATCAAGACGACTAAGAGTCCAAGAGAGTACATCCACATCAAGGCGACTAAGAGTCCAAGAGGGTACATCCCCATCAAGAAGACTAAGAGTCTAACGAGAGATAAGAACCTAAGAGACTTTCACTACCTCGAGCGTGTCCTTTCAGACGACCAGACCACACACCAGAAGATGAGGAGACGACGACGACGTTTCGGTCCGTCTTGGACCATTCTCAAGTCGATTGATATACACAATCGACTTGATAATAGTCCACGACGGACCGAAACGTCGTAGTTTCACCATCTTCTAGTGTGAGCTTTGGTCATCATATCTTGACTCATCGTCTGTGTATCCCTTAAGATACTGCCTTATCATCAAATCTCAAGAAATTATTATCAGAAATCAATAGAATCTAGAGACATTCGACACTAACCAAAACCCTTCATAGAAACCAAGAGGTTTCAGTTGTCCTCAACAGATCCTTTCAGACATCTTCACCAAAATGCTATTCTCAAATCAGAAGAAACCCTTACTCCTGATCCATTAATATTTAGATTCTACCGATTTGATAATCACACGAAACTCAAGTTTTAACCATGATTTACCCGCTGAGGTTGACCCTCGACTCACTCACCTGCAGAGTAGGACCTTCCTGCTTAAGCTCACCCTTGACTTCATTGCTTAAGGTCCTACTTGACTCACCTGTGGAGTAGTCTGAACACTCCATCTCGGCAAACATGGATCCTGGGAGGAACTGGAAGGCACTGTTGCCAGCATTGGTGCCTGTGTCGCCGCTCAAGTAGCACTGGTTGGTGTTGGAGTTACTCTGGTAACAATGATACGTTGTTGTTAAAGATTTAGCTTCTCAGGACGAAGTGTCCATGTAGCACGGGCTATGGTGAGCCCGTGCTACATGGACACGAATGATATGTTATAGTTAAAAAAAGATATACAGTACAGCTTCTTGGATAAATTAATCTTGGGGTTATTTATGTTAATTTAGCTTTATTTTATCTTATTTCTTTATAACTTTTTATTTTTATTTATAATTATATTTTTGAAGTTTATTTTGGTGCAAATTAAATTTCTACTGTATTTGTATGAGTTATGGAGAGTGAATAAGAGTCGTGACTCACCGCACTCATGAATGAGTAGCTTCGACAGTTGAATTCTGTTTCCACATCACAGGCTCGCTTACAGGTAGCGTCGCTGAAGGCGCTGGTAGCCTTGGTGGTGTAGATCAGGTACCTGTCTCTCTGATTGTTCTTGTACACACAGCCCCCGGGCTCTGTAGGAGAGAGTCAGAGCCAATCAGAATAACACAGCCATTTGTAGCTCTATAATTGAGCAATGATCAGAAATGACTGTATTTAAGACCCCAAGAATAAAGGCATTTGTACCAGGCCTATTGGTCCATATGAGGTAGAGGTAACCGTGATGGTAGAGGGAGGATTGAGTAGGTGCAGCATCAAAGCTTCCCCCTGTGCAGGCGACGAGTCACAATAACGTGGCTAAATTATATTGACCAGACCACACACTAGAAGGTGAAGGGACGACGGCGCTGCGGTCCGTCCTGGACCATTCTCAAGTCGATTCAAATCATTCTCAAATCAACTTGAGAATGGTCCAAGACGGACCCAAACGTCGTCGTCCATTCACCTTCTAGTGTGTGGTTTGATCAACAAAGCTTCCCCCTCTTTATTCATTACGATTTCCGGACGATCTCCGGTCTTGGTAGTTAGAGCTCGTGGCGGGTAATATATGATAGGGTTTATGACCCTAACCGCCACCAAAACAACCCAAAAACCCACTCCCCTTACAAGACATAACCTCTCAACTAGTGAGCTATATTTTCTATGTTAGGGCCCCCATTATGCACTGTGAAAAGTAGCGAAATCACAATTATCCCCGATTTCTAAGCGTAGTTTGGCTATGGAGGGGTGACTTGGGTATGTCTCAGTATGTTTGCTAATATGTTTATTGTTTGTGATGTGTGTATATGTATGTATTAACACGATATACTGAACTGGGTGAGAATAGCTTGAGCTACCTCATTCCTTTGTGTGTATTTTACCTCAATAAACTTATTTCAATTTCAATTTCACTTGGGTATGTGCGTTCCTAGCTACCCCGGATTACTTACTAGGAGCACACTGGTTTTCCAGGTAGTCGACGTTGGGAGCGGCTTGGAAGGAGGTTGGGGCAGAGAAGCGATCTTGATCCGAGAGTCTACACAGCCTCCGAGCGTACTCGTAGTTGGCCGAGCGACAGGTAAACCTCCGCTCCTCCAGACACCTCTCTATGCACTCTGACTTGCTGTAGAGGGGGTGGAGAGGTCAGTCAGGGGGAAGGAATATGCACTCAGACGTGCTGTAGAGGGGATAAAGAGGCCTGTAAGGGAAGGAATATGCACTCAGACGTGCTGTAGAGGGGGTGGAGAGGTCAGTCAGGGGAAGGAATATGCACTCAGACGTGCTGTAGAGGGGATAAAGAGGCCTGTGAGGGAAGGAATATGCACTCAGACGTGCTGTAGAGGGGGTGGAGAGGTCAGTCAGGGGGAAGGAATATGCACTCAGACGTGCTGTAGAGGGGATAAAGAGGCCTGTGAGGGAAGGAATATGCACTCAGACGTGCTGTAGAGGGGGTGGAGAGGTCAGTCAGGGGAAGGAATATGCACTCAGACGTACTCTAGAGGGATAGAGAAGTCATTGGGTAAGGAACATGCCCTCAGACGTGCTGTAAAGGGGATAAAGAGGCCTGTAAGGGAAGGTATATACACACAGACGTACTCTAGAGGGATAGAGAAGTCATTGGGGTAAGGAACATGCCCTCAGACGTACTCTAGAGGGGGATAAAGAGGCCTATAAAGGAAGTTATATGCACACAGACGTACTCTAGAGATATGGAGAAGTCACTGGGGTAAGGAACATGCCCTCAGACGTGCTCTAAAGGGATAACAATGTCTGTAAGGAAAGATATATTTACTCAGACGACCTCTAGAGTGATTAAGAGGTCAGTGAGTAAATGAGGAGGTTATTAAGTTGAAAAACACACACATCAATCAAAGCAAAACAAACGAAAACAACAACAAACAATCAAGTCACTATAACTTGTAAACAAAATTAAGACATTGAACAAGAACTTAAACTTGACAACATATTAATATATATGTTTCTGGCCACCTCAAGAAAATTTATTTTAAATTTTAAAAACCTTCATTCGTATATATATATATATATATATATATATATATATATATATATATATATATATATATATATATATATATATATATATATATATAAATCGGTATAGTTCTTGGAGGGCTGAACGGAGTCTATATAAATTGTTTGATTATTAATTACAAGTAAAATTTAAAATTTAATAATTCAGTAATAATTTTAACAATTTAGTTTTTAGTAATAGTTTTAATGACTCAGTTTTTAATAATAAGCAATAATTTAATAACAAGTAATAATTTAATAATAAATAGTATTTAATAATTTAATAAGTAATAATTTAATAATTTTGTTCAACAAATAATTTGGAAAAGTAGAAAAGTAGTTTCGTAAAAGAAGAGAGGGAAGGAGATAGAAAGTTAGATAAAAGGAGAGAGGGTGATAAAGTTAGATAAAGGGAGAGAGGGAGAGAAAGTTAGATAAAGGGAGAGAAAGTTAGATAGAGGGAGAGAAAATTAGATAAAGGGGGAGAGAGAGAGAAAATTAGATAAAGGGAGAGATGGAGAAAGAAAGGAAAGTTAGATAAAGAGAGAGAGGGAGAGAACGAACACAAGAGAACACGAGAACGAACGAACTGTTTCCTGAACGAAACAGGATGGATCAAAGTCAGCACCGAACAAACAGGAAGGAATTCAACGGACCTGATGCCATTCAGAGTTTCTCTGTCTCTGCCACTCAGCTCGAAGTTTGGTACGCGTTCGAAGGTCCACCTCAGCCCACACCCTCCGCCTGTTGAGTACGAGGTTGGAGACACTGCCTATATAATCCTTATATAATACGCAGGTAACACAGATATACTCTATTGATATATAATATACAAATGACACAGCAAAAGACGGTGTAGTGAACTACCAGCAGCTGGCAAGGCGGGGGGGGGGGAGGGGGGTTGAGAGCTGGCACTGGACCTTTCAAAGACCAGTTAGATGAGTACATTTAGGTAAGTACATACGAGTAGTGATTATACTCAGTCAATCAACAAAATGAGTGTTGACAGCATTTATCACTTATCAAAATAATCCAGCAATTGATTGTCCTTGAATCTAATCGATTTTGTAATATCAATCTCTCCAGCCTCCACAGTGAACCCAGATTATCAAAGAATCGTTTTGTATACAAATATATGATTTAATCAAGGAGCTAAATTATAGTCTACTACTTTAGTCGTCTATTCCATTTAGCATGTGATGTTACCCTGGTGCTGTGAGGCAGGGTTACCCTACCTTGTGAGGTGCTTCCGGGGACACTAATCCCCGGAAGCACTTCAAGGTAACCTCAAGGTAAGGTAACCCTCATGACTGACACAACAATATACAACTGGTCATGTATGAGGGCAGGTTATATTGTGAGGTCTTAGGCCTTAGGACTAAGAAGGGAAGGGAACTATCAGGGAGAACGCACTAAGCCATTGTGACTATATAGCACTGGGAAGGGGTCAGGATAAGGATTTGGGATGGGATAGGGGAAAGGAATGGTGCCCAACCACTTGGACTGCATGAAGCGAGACCGTCGCTCTACCGTCCAGCCCAAGTGGTTGGGCTCTTAGGACTAAGAATGACAGCCAGTATGTGTGACTCAAGGTCTTTCTCGACCCGAAGATTTGATGTCTTTAAATCTTTATCGAAGTCCCGCAACTCACTCCGGAGACAGATGCCTTCGAAGTAGCCGACCCCACTGGACTGACGAAGGTTCTGGGGGACCTCGGAGGCTCTGGTGTCCAAGGAGTAGCATTCGAACCGGTTGTAGTCGAGGTTGAAGGCCATGCAGCTGTTGAGGTTCTTGCATAGCTCCGCGCACCTCGCTGTGATCCCTAGAAGGAGATAACGTTAATAGCAGGAAACCGAAAGGCAATAGGATACTTTATCCTCACCCTCCCAAATACCCAGCAATATGTAAACAATGAATATCTACCAAATGCCTCTTACACCGTTCTGGTAGGGCCAGGGCTCCATACATACCCGGAGTCCTGCTGGAGAAGAGGATTTCCGACTTGATGCCGGAGAGTTCGAAGCCCGTGACCTTCTCGTAGGTGAGCCGGCCGAAGCTACAGCGATCTACTGCGAATGAAAACCCGCCTGGAGGAGGAGCCAGAGGAGGCCAGGAGCCCCCCCAGGTCGAACCATTAGTGCGCTACAGGTGCCGGGTGCTCAGGGTGCTGCTAGGGACAGTATAGACTAGAGGAATGGTTTACAGTATACTCAAGAAGCTGAGTATACTGAGTATATATCTTTACTGAGAGCGGAGTGGTGTAGTCTGCCTGGAGTGATATGTCTAGACGACCCCGCTGGGTAAGAGACACGGAGGAATAACCTCCCTTAACATACTTATATCATAGTTAACTAGATAAACCCATTAGTATATTTTGGTCGTATGAATTGTGAATGTTCACCCCAACGATGCTGGATAAACAAAGTTAATTTAACAATAGACTAACGTGAATTTTACATTTCTCAAGCACGTCTTCCTCGATGGGTACACATGGCGCCAATACAACAAAATCCTACAATCCTACACTACAATAAATCCCTCTAGCCACGACTGGCATTGAAATTGATAACAACTAGACCTGGAATTAAATGGATAAGATTACGTTAAACATGGATTAATATATGTTTTTCCATGGTTTATGCAACAAGTGGAATGTTCATATGAAAATTCAAAATATATTTATACAAATTCAAAGCAACGAATCATAACTTCAAGCCATTACATGATTTTATTTAATACAGTGTTTAAGCCCTTGATTGTGATTTTCAAAATAAATCATGAAAATGTATAGAAACTAATTTATTGTATGTGTTTAACAGAGACACTGTTACCCTGTGTATGTGGAGCACACCCTACTGTGTGGAGACACACCCTACTGTGTGGAGACACACCCTACTGTGTGGAGACACGCCCTACTGTGTGGAGACACGCCCTACTGTGTGGAGACACGCCCTACTGTGTGGAGACACGCCCTACTGTGTGGACACTCACCCTACTGTGTGGAGACACGCCCTACTGTGTGGAGACACACCCTACTGTGTGGAGACACGCCCTACTGTGTGGAGACACGCCCTACTGTGTGGAGACACGCCCTACTGTGTGGAGACACACCCTACTGTGTGGAGACACGCCCTACTGTGTGGAGACACGCCCTACTGTGTGGAGACACACCCTACTGTGTGGACACTCACCCTACTGTGTGGAGACACGCCCTACTGTGTGGAGGCACGCTCTACTGTGTGGACACTCACCCTACTGTGTGGAGACACACCCTACTGTGTGGAGGCACGCTCTACTGTGTGGACACATCCTACTGTGTGGAGACACATCCTACTGTGTGGAGACACACCCTACTGTGTGGAGACACGCCCTACTGTGTGGAGACACACCCTACTGTGTGGAGACACACCCTACTGTGTGGACACTCACCCTACTGTGTGGAGACACGCCCTACTGTGTGGAGACACGCCCTACTGTGTGGAGACACGCCCTACTGTGTGGGGACACGCCCTACTGTGTGGAGACACACCCTACTGTGTGGACACATCCTACTGTGTGGAGACACACCCTACTGTGTGGAGACACGCCCTACTGTGTGGAGACACACCCTACTGTGTGGAGACACGCCCTACTGTGTGGAGACACGCCCTACTGTGTGGAGACACGCCCTACTGTGTGGAGACACACCCTACTGTGTGGACACATCCTACTGTGTGGAGACACGCCCTACTGTGTGGAGACACGCCCTACTGTGTGGAGACACGCCCTACTGTGTGGACACATCCTACTGTGTGGAGACATGCCCTACTGTGTGGAGACACATCCCCTACTGTGTGGAGACACACCCTACTGTGTGGACACTCACCCTACTGTGTGGAGACACACCCTACTGTGTGGAGACACACCCTACTGTGTGGAGACACACCCTACTGTGTGGAGACACGCCCTACTGTGTGGAGACACGCCCTACTGTGTGGAGACACATCCCCTACTGTGTGGAGACACACCCTACTGTGTGGAGACACACCCTACTGTGTGGACACATCCTACTGTGTGGAGACACACCCTACTGTGTGGACACATCCTACTGTGTGGAGACATGCCCTACTGTGTGGAGACACATCCCCTACTGTGTGGACACTCACCCTACTGTGTGGAGACACACCCTACTGTGTGGAGACACACCCTACTGTGTGGAGACACACCCTACTGTGTGGAGACACGCCCTACTGTGTGGAGACACGCCCTACTGTGTGGAGACACACCCTACTGTGTGGAGACACATCCCCTACTGTGTGGAGACACATCCCCTACTGTGTGGAGACACATCCCCTACTGTGTGGAGACACACCCTACTGTGTGGAGACACATCCCCTACTGTGTGGAGACACATCCCCTACTGTGTGGAGACACACCCTACTGTGTGGAGACACACCCTACTGTGTGGAGACACACCCTACTGTGTGGAGACACGCCCTACTGTGTGGAGACACACCCTACTGTGTGGAGACACGCCCTACTGTGTGGAGACACATCCCCTACTGTGTGGACACTCACCCTACTGTGTGGAGACACACCCTACTGTGTGGAGACACGCCCTACTGTGTGGAGACACATCCCCTACTGTGTGGAGACACACCCTACTGTGTGTAGACACACCCTACTGTGTGGACACTCACCCTACTGTGTGGAGACACGCCCTACTGTGTGGACACTCACCCTACTGTGTGGAGACACGCCCTACTGTGTGGAGACACACCCTACTGTGTGGAGACACGCCCTACTGTGTGGAGACACACCCTACTGTGTGGAGGCACACCCTACTGTGTGGACACATCCTACTGTGTGGAGACACACCCTACTGTGTGGACACATCCTACTGTGTGAACGTGGCCAGGCACCGTACCCTGTGTACCTACCGTGACTGTTACAAAAGAGAGATGTTCAACTGAAATACTGTGAAGTGTTCATCAAAGTGCGTGATCAGTGTTATTGAAGAAAGAAAGCGTTCACTTCTTGGAACATGGCGAAGTGTGTTGTTCAAGACCGTGCAGAGATCTTCCCACAATAACCACCACTACAACAACAATTACTACTACCACTACCACCACTACCACTACCACTTAAACTACCACCACAGCAATTACCATTAATGCAGTTAATGAAACCATTCGATTGCTTCAGAACATTTTTTTATCACCACTACTACCACTTGCTACCAAAAGGGTTATATATATATATATATATATATATATATATATATATATATATCTTGAAGGTTATAGTTAAATTGGCCTGATGAAGTCAATTGAAAATGCATATTTTAATAATAATAATTTTTACTCTACTCTAATAATGGATGCTGCTAGTGTCTCTCTACTTATAAGAGTTATAAGTTGCATACCAACTTGCCTGACCACTAGCAATACTTCTAAACCCATTACACTAACTACAGTGAAGTGTGGTGGTTGGTGGTGGTACTTGAAGAGTGGTTCAACCTGCTGTTAATGGGGGGGGGATGGGGCTGCTGTGTATACTCAAGTTTACATCTCAACCAAGACTCAATGTAAAGTCAACCATGGATCAACTTAGAATTCAACCTTTCACCAAAATATAATCTTCTTTAGGGATATCATATTCACATTTTTTTTAAATATACCCATGAGTTTTCTACAGATATATCTGAATTTGTAAAGGACATACACACACACACACACACACACACACACACACACACACACACACACACACACACACACACACACACCAGACAGAAGAAAAAGAGGTGATATGATCACTACATACAAAATAGTAACAGGAATTGATAAAATCGACAGGGAAGATTTCCTGAGACCTGGCACTTCAAGAACAAGAGGTCATAGATTTAAACTAGCTAAACACAGATGCCGAAGAAATATAAGAAAATTCACTTTCGCAAACAGAGTGGTAGACGGTTGGAACAAGTTAAGTGAGAAGGTGGTGGAGGCCAAGACCGTCAGTAGTTTCAAAGCGTTATATGACAAAGAGTGCTGGGAAGACGGGACACCACGAGCGTAGCTCTCATCCTGTAACTACACTTAGGTAATTACACTTAGGTAATTACACACACACACACACACACACTCTCTCTTTCTCTCTCTCTCTCTCTCTCTCTCTCTCTCTCTCTCTCTCTCTCTCTCTCTCTCTCTCTCTCTCTCTCTCTCTCTCTCTCTCTCTCTCTCTCTCTCTCTCTCTCTCTCTCTCAACACACACTCACACAGGGGGGCCTTGCGGCTGAATGGATAGCGCCTGGGTCGTAGTCCTAATGGCCGGGTTCGATTCCCGGTGAAGGCGAAAACAAATGGGTAGAGTTTCTTTCACCTTTGAACCCCTGTTCACCTAGCAGTAAATAGATACCTGGCAGTTAGACAGTTGCTACGGGCTGCTTCCTGGGTGTGTATGTGTACTCACCTAGTTGTACTTATCTAGTTTTGCTTGCAGGGGTTGAGCTCTGGCTGCATGGTCCTGGCTCTCAACTGTCAGTCAACTGGTGTACAGGTTCCTGAGCCTACTGGGCTCTATCATATCTACACTTGAAACTGTGTATGGAGTCAGCCTCCACCACATCACTTCCTAATGCATTCCATTTGATAACTACTCTAACAGTGAAAAAGTTCCTTCTAATGTCTCTGTGGCTCATTTGGGTATTCAGTTTAAACCTGTGTCCCCTTGTTCGTGTTCCACTCGTGGTAAATAGTTTTTCTTTGTCCACCCTGTCAATTCCCCTGAGAATTTTGTAGGTAGTTATCATGTCTCCCCTTACTCTTCTGTCTTCCAAGGACGTGAGGCTCAGCTCCCTTAGCCTTTCCTAGTAGCTCATACTTCTCAGTTCTGGGACTAGTCTGGTGGCATACCTCTGATTTTGTCTTGTGTTTAACTGGGTATGGACTCCAGGATTGGTCTGACATAAGTGGGATACAAGGTCCTGAACGATTCCTTACACAGGTTTCTAAAGGCAGTTCTTATATTGGCCAGTCTAACATATGCCGCTGATGATATCCTTTTGATGTGGGCCTCTGGGGACAGGTTCAGTGTGATATCAACCCCCAGATTTTTCTCTCTATTTCACTCTTGCAGGATATCACCTCCCAGATGGTACCTTGTGTTCAGCCTTCTGCTCCCTTCGCCTAATTTCATTACTATTCACTTTCGTGAGTTGAACTTTAGTAGCCATTTTCTAGACCATTCCACTAGCTTGTCCAGGTCGTCCTGTAGTCTTTGTCTATCTTCATCTGGCTTAATTCTTCTCATAATTTTTGCATCATCAGCAAACAGTGAGAGGAATGAGTCTATACCCTCTGGAAGGTCGTTTACATATACTAGAAACAGGATGGGTCCGAGTACAGAGCCCTGTGGGACTCCGCTGGTGACATCTCGCCACTCTGATGCCTCCCCCCTCACCGTTACTCGCTGTTCCCTATTGCTTAGATACTCCCTTATCTAAGGATCATCCTTATCTAAGAATGATACGAAGCTGTGCCTTATATTTGAGTCTATATCTGATATGAGAATAAGGAAAAGCAGTGGTGCAAGGACTGTACCTTGAGGTACAGAGCTTTTAATTGCGCGTGGACTCTATTTTATATGGTTGACTGTTACTCTTTGTGTTCTGTTCGACAAAAAACTGAGTATCCAGCGTCCTACTTTACCAGTTATTCCCATTGACCTCATTTTGTGTGCAATCACTCCATGGTCACATTTGTCGAATGCCTTAGCGAAATTCGTGTATACCACATCTACATTATGTTTTTCTTCTAATGCCTCAGTGATTTTGTCATAATGGTTAAGTAGCTGTGAGAGGCATGATCTTCCTGCACTAAATCCATGTTGGCCTGGGGTGTGGAGGTCATTGGTCTCCATGAAACTGGTGACCTGACTCCTGATCACTCTCTCAAATACTTTTATTATGTGGGACGTTAGTGCAACTGGTCTATAATTCTTTGCCAATGCTTTGTTCCCTCCCTTGTGTAGAGGGGCTATGTCTGACCAGACCACACACTAGAAGTTGAAGGGACGACGACGTTTCGGTCCGTCCTGGACCATTCTCAAGTCGATGATTAGCAGGGCTATGTCTGCTGCTTTAAGCGCATCTGGTATCTCCCCTGTGTCCAAGCTCTTCCTCCACACTATACCGAGTGCCTGTGCTACTGGCACTTTGCATTTCTTTATAAATATTGAATTCCATGAGTCTGGACCCGGGGCTGAGTGCATGGGTATGTCATCAATTTCTCTTTCAAAATCTGCCACGCTCGTGTTGATATCAGTTATATTTACAGGTGTTTGGATATCACGCGTAAAGTTGTCCGGATCATCCACTTTCATGCTGTGTATCTGAGTGCTAGACATGTCCTCATACTGTTTTTTTAGGATTTCACAAATTTATTTGTCACTTTCAGTGTATGAACCTTCACTAGTACGAATAGGTCCAATACTGGCAGTGGTTTTTGCTTTTGATTTACTATATTGGATAGAGAAATATTGGACCTTTTGATATGTGAAGAAATATTTTGGGTTTTTCTTTATTTTTTTAATTGTTTTCTGTTCTAGTTGCCTTTCTTCAATCTGATATAAATGCTTCAGTCTCTGTTCGATTTCTTCAATCTCTCTGTTTAAATTATTCCTTCTTTGTATGGAAAGTCGTGTCTGCTTAAGCGTTTCCGTTAATTTTTTCCTTCTTCTGTAGTGTCGTCTGCGTTCTCTTTCTACATTGTACCTTTCTGAGGTCCAATGAAACGGAACGGAAACGGAACATGTTTCAGACAGACTTCATATGCTTCAGAAGTCAGTTTTTCTATTCCTTGTGTAGGATTTTTATTACTTAGAACATTTTCCCATTGAATGTTTATAAGTTCCTTGTTTATTTTCTCCCAGTCTATCCTTTTATTATTACAATTGAATTTTCTGAATAATCCTTCTCTCTTGTTGATTCTCTTGGGCCTACTACCGTTATTAATGTTAGTTTGCACTTCAATGATCTTGTTGTCTGAGTAAGTAGTGTCTGAGACAGTAATGTCTCTGATTAACTCACCATTGTTCGTGAATATCAGGTCCAGCGTGTTCTCGTTCCTAGTTGGTTCTGTAATCTGCTGACTGAGTGAGAACTTGTCACAGAATCTCAGTAGTTCTCTGACCTGTGGTTGGTTATTTCCAGGTTGATTTCTTGCTATAATATTATTGTTTTCTATTCTCCATTTTAAACTGGGGAGTTTGAAGTCTCCAAGGAAGATAATATCTGGTACTGGGTTTGCTAGGTTATCAAGGATATTCTCTATTTTGTGGGTCTTCTCAGTGAATTCCTCAACTGTTGCATCTGGCGGTTTATATATTAAAATAATAATTAGATTTATATTTTCTACCATGATTCCAAGTACCTCTACCACCTCATTGGTCGAGTTCAGGAGCTCTGTGCATGCCAGCTCCTCTTTAATATACAGCCCTACTCCTCCACTTGACCTAATTACTCTGTCACATCTATATAGATTATAATTTGGGATCCAGATTTCACTATCCATGTGGTCTTTTGTGTGGGTTTCTATAAATGCACCAAATATTGAGTTCGATTCTATTAGGAGGCCATTTATGAACTTGACTTTATTTCTTGATTTTGATTTTAGGCCTTGTATGTTTGGAAATATGAATGATTTACCATATTGCGTGTCACTTCTTGTGGGCTTTGGTAGTTCTCCCCCCACTCTACCCAGGTCCAGGGTGTGTTGTTTTGGTAGTGGTTCGTCCAGTGTTGGTAGTGGTTCGTCCAGTGTTGGTAGTGGTTCGTCCAGTGTTGGTAGTGGTTCGTCCAGTGTTGGTAGTGGTTCGTCCAGTGTTGGTAGTATTGTGGGTGTTGTGTGGTGTAGTACCTATGTGCTTGTTGATGATTTGTATTCCAGTCTTGGGGGTATCTCCCTTCCCCTCTGTAATCCTGCATGTTGGGCCCCCTGACATGTTGGGTCCCCTGACATATTGGCTCAGAAAGTTCCTTGTTGCCACTTCCAAGAGTTTCGCTTTCTGTGTATATGCACCTCCATGTGGGTCTCCATTCTCCCAGTCTATCTTTCCATGGTTGAAGTCGCCCATGATTAAGAGTCTGGATCCATTCCTGAAGGCAACTGAAGCTACTCTCTGTTATATTAATGGTTGTCATGTTCCTATCGAACTCATGTGTGGGGTCTTCTGTCATTTAGTGGGAGAATATTAAACGACGGCCTCTATTATCTTAGGTCCGTCCATTCTCATAGTTCCTGTTATGTAGTCTCTGAATCCTTCACAGTCCAAAATTTCCACAAAACTCCAGTCCTTCCTTATCAGCAGGGCCACTCCTCCACCCTCCTCTCCCTTCTTTCTCTTTTCTTACCGTATAGTAGTCCTGTGGAAACTAAGCGTTTGTTATGATTCCTGACAATTTTGTTTCTGTGAGTCCTATTACATCTAGGTTCTCTTCCTGCACCTGTTCCATGTTTGTGTGTGCGTGTGTCAGAGAGATATATATGTAGTAGATATAATAAAAGAAAAATTAAATAGAATGGAACTAAGAGCTCGATTCTGCATGCACAAATAGTAAATACACACACATTCACACAGACAAGTTCAGGGAGATTTTACATACCGTCACCAGGTCTGACACCGCCACCTCCAGGTATGACTCCGCCGCCACCAGGTCTGACACCACCACCTCCGCCTCCAGGTGTGACTCCGCCGCCGCCAGGTCTGACACCCCCACCTCCGCCTCCAGGTGTGACTCCGCCGCCACCAGGTCTGACACCTCCGCCTCCAGGTGTCACTCCGCCGCCTCCAGGTATAACTCCGCCGCCACCAGGTATGACTCCACCGCCACCAGGTCTGACGCCACCACCTCCGCCTCCAGGTGTGACTCCGCCTCCTCCAGGTATGACCCCACCGCCATCAGGTCTGACGCCACCACCTCCGCCTCCAGGTATGACTCCACCACCACCAGGTCTGACGCCACCACCTCCGCCTCCAGGTGTGACTCCACCGCCGCCAGGTATGACACCCCCTCCACCTCCTCCTCCAGGTATGACACCACCTCCACCTCCAGGAGTGCCAGTACCTCCGCCTCCGGGAGTGCCACCAGTGCTCGTACAGTCCCTCTCGAAGTAAGTAGTCCCCGGACGGTTCTGGAGAGCTTCAGTACCACCTCCAGACACTGTAAGAAAAGACGAAGATGAATCAGTAGGCGTTGAGGAAGATACGAGGTCAGTCCTCCCTGTAACTTTATACCTTTGACTGTAATTCTGTACCAGACATTATAATTCTGTACTTGAAACAGTAGTTCTGTTTCTGACATTGCAATTCTGTACGTGTCACTGTAATTCTGTACCAGACATTATAATTCTGTACTTGAAACAGTAGTTCTGTTTCTGACATTGCAATTCTGTACGTGTCACTGTAATTCTGTACGAGACATTATAATTCTGTACTTGAAACAGTAGTTCTGTTTCTGACATTGCAATTCTGTACGTGTCACTGTAATTCTGTACCAGACATTATAATTCTGTACTTGAAACAGTAGTTCTGTTTCTGACATTGCAATTCTGTACGTGTGACTGTAATTCTGTACCTGAAAAGTTAACCTTCACAACAGCTGTATAATCAACACTTGTAGGTGTTATGACCTTCTGTAGCCTGGGTGGAACGAGTCTACCTTTCTGAGAGTTATTCTGCCTTCCGGACCTGAGATTGAGAGGTCAGAGGAAAGATGCATATATTAAATAATTGAATAGACCTCAGTGAGTAATCTCAGGATACTAGCAGAGGATGGGCGTTGGTAATGACATGAAATGAGATGTCGATGCTTTGGAGACGTGAAGTGACGCTAGCAGGAAGTCGGGACCTCACTTGAGTCGCAACTGTCGTCAGAGGTGGTCGTACTTTGTTGCTTCTCCTAGAATAAGGAAGAATATAGTTCCCTGTGTTAGTGGTGGAGTGAAGACTATTTGTCTGCCAGTGTGAAGAAGCTATTGGGGACATAGTACATCATTACTCGGTGATTTTGGTAAATTAGAGGCGACCTGGAAGTGAGTGTTGGTCGCGCCTTGGTGAAACTCTAATTGTTGTGCCTTCAAGAGGAAGGAAGTAAGCAGGCGTTTCTGTTGAGCCTGCCAGGCGACGTTGTGAACTCAAGTTGTGAAGTGAAGGAAGCTTGTGAGGCAGTCCTGAAGCATTTTTGTGGGCGGCCTGTATGAGCGCCATGTTTGAGCTCCAGTGAGTGAGCGTCCTCACGTCAGAGATTTCGGCGGTAAGCCTGTTTAATCAGTTGTTAATTTACCCACTAGTGTTTGATCGTAGTCCCAGCGATCAAGTGAACATATATATGTGTAGGGATAGATATTGTATTAAGACTGTGAGCTAAAATAAGTAGTTAAAGTTGGGAGGACATGCTAGAGGGAGCGGTGGTACGTCCGCCCTCGATGGAGGTCAGTGGATGACTGATGGGGGAAGCCCCATAGCGTCGTGGCGGCCAGAGGCGGACCTCAGCGACGTGTCAAGACATGTTCACGTCTGAACGGGTGGACCCGCCCAAGATGGGGGAGGACCCACATAGACGGAGCCGTAGTGCCAGCATAAAGATGTCGGATGGGGGAGTTTATTTTCTGTGAATACATTTAATTATGCTTTGTTAGAAAAACATTTTTATTGGCATGGTAATGGCATTGCAGGTTTGTTTGGGAAGGAGTTCGTGGAGAAACTTCAAGGTTACAGAAGTTGAAGGAGGAATTTCGAGCCTGGAGAAGAAGTGTATGCTGAACTCTGTGGTAGAGCAGAACTCCATAGTGAGGAGTTGACTTCAAGCAGTGTAGAAGAGCTATACGTGTCTTTGTGGCATCAGTGATGAAGCGTCACTGATGTCAGACTAGGACTCGGTTGTGCAGCAGATTGGGAGAACTGCAGAAGTGCCTTTCCTGATATTTTGGAGGACCGAGAGATATACATTGGTAGTGAGCCTCTAGGAGCAGAACAGAGGTTCACTGTGGACACCCATCATGGTATAAGGTGAGTGCTTGAATGCTTATTGGCCTGTAAGACACAGTGTAAGGTGAGAGATGGATATATTCTTTAGTTATGGGATACTTATGTAAATGTTTCTGGTGTTTCAGCCCCGAGCTGAGTGTCATATACTCTTAGGGCTGAGGATACAGTACTGTTGTGACAGGATTTCAGCACTATGTAGTGAGGGAGTAGTAAGTGGTAAGCCAAGAGTTGGGCAGCCACTTGATATGGACAGTTGGTGAAGCCAGGTATGACTTCACCAACGATCTTATGAGTCGTACAATCTTGGTACGATCTTACGAGTCGTACGATCTTGGTACGATCTTATGAGTCATACGATCTTGGTACAATCTTACGAGTCGTATGATCTTGGTACGATCTTACGAGTCGTACGATCTTATGAGTCATACGATCTTGGTACAATCTTACGAGTCGTACAATCTTGGTACGATCTTACGAGTCGTACGATCTTGGTACGATCTTACGAGTCGTACCAAGATCCTAATCCACGAGAAAGTACAGAGCAACTTACCCATGTCGTCCCCTGAAACGAAGCACTGGGAGCCGGTAGGGAAGTAGGATAGAGAACGACAGTTGAATCGCCTGTAGTTCGTGCAAGCTCTCTGACACTGCTCTTCCGACACGACCTGCTCAATGGTGTCGTCCAGGTAGACGGGATAGGCGCCCTCGGTCTTCCTGTAGGGACAGCTCACGTCCACTGTGGATAGGCGGAAAGGATTGTTAGGGGGGGATATGAAGGAGCCTTATGACATGTATGGACGTGTTTTCTGAGTAGTGAAGATGCTCTTAGGGGGGTATGTATGGGTGTATTTTGGGAGGGATTGGTGCTTTTAGAGTATGTATGGGTGTATTTTGAGAGAGATAAGTGCTCTTTAGAGTATGTATGGGTGTATTTTAGGTGGGATTGGTGCTTTTAGAGTATGTATGGGTGTATTTTGAGAGAGATAAGTGCTCTTTAGAGTATGTATGGGTGTATTTTGAGAGAGATAAGTGCTCTTTAGAGTATGTATGGGTGTATTTTAAGAACGATAGGTCCTCTTACAGTGTGTATACGTATGTGTGTATTTTTAGAGGGATAGATGCTCTTAGAGTATGTATGGGTGTATTTTGAGAGGGATAGATGCTCTTAGAGTATGTATGGGTGTATTTTGAGAGGGATAGATGCTCTTAGAGTATGTATGGGTGTATTTTGAGAGGGATAGATGCTTTTAGAGTATGTATGGGTGTATTTTGAAAGGGATACGTGATCTTAAAGAGTGTGTATGGGTGTCATTAAGGCTATTAAGGAGGATTATTAAGACCTATCCACCTCTGGAGGGTTATTAAGGCCTATCAACCTCTGGAGGGTTATTAAGGCCTATCCACCTCTGGAGGGTTATTAAGGCCTATCCACCTCTGGAGGGTTATTAAGGCCTATCCACCTCTGGAGGGTTATTAACACCACCACAATAGCTCACTCACCAGCCAGTATATACTCTTAGACCTGAGGCAAGATACGTCTCTTTCAACACTCACCTTGGGTGCACTGGTTCTCCAGGTACTCCACTGTGGGGGACGTGGAGGTGACGAAGGCGTTGGGGTTCGACCTCCTGTCACTCCTGCTGAGGCGACACAAGAGGCTGGAGGTGTCGTACTCGGCTGACCTACAGACGAAGGTACTCTCTTGGAGACACGCCTGCAAGCCAGAGGAACATCAGAGACCGGATTCTTAGAGGTTCAGAAGATTAGAAAGGGATTTAGGTGCTTTATAAGGGGTTCAAAAGCTGAGAAGAGCCAGTGGAACATCAGAGCGATATACAAATGGGATTCTTACAGGTTCAGAAGATTAGAAAGGGATTTAGGAGCCTTATATAAAGGGTTCAGAAGCTGAGAAGAGCCAAAGGAACATCAGAGCCCCATACAAACGGCATTCTTAGAGACACAGACGGCTCCTGATAGACTTAAAGAGTGAGACACAGACAGCTCCTGATAGACTTAAAGAGTGAGACACAGACAGCTCCTGATAGCTTTAAGAGTGAGACTCAGACAGCTCCTGATAGACTAAAGGGTGAGACACAGACTGCTCTGATAGACTTAAAGAATGAGACACAGACGGCCCTGATAGACTTAAAGGGTGAGACACAGACTGCTCTGATAGACTTAAGAGTGAGACACAGACAGCTCCGGATAGACTTAAGAGTGAGACACAGACAGCTCTGATAGACTTAATGAGTGAGACACAGACGGCTCCTGATAGACTAAAGAGTGAGACACAGACAGCTCTCATAGACTTAAGAGTGAGACACAGACAGCTCTCATAGACTTAAGAGTGAGACTCAGACGGCCCTGATAGACTTACCTCTATACAGTCCCTGCGGCTCTGCACCAGGGGCCTCTGTCTATCGTCTAGGCCTCTGAGCTCTTTGCCCGGCACTCTCTCGAAGTGCCAAGTCTTCCCTTGGCACTGTAACGAGATGGCGGCTGCAAGGAGATATGATTGGGTTGTTTAATGATTGGGTTGTTTAATGATTGGATTGTTTAATGATTGATTTTAATGATTGGATTATTTAATGATTGAGTTTAATGATTGGATTGCTTAATGATTTGGTTGTTTAATGATTGGGTTTCTTAATAATTGGATTATTTAATGATTGGGTTGCTTAATGATTGGGTTGTTTAATGACTGGGTTGTTTAATGACTAGATTGGATTATTTAATGATTGGATTCCTTAATGACTGGATTGTTTAATGATTGGATTGTTTAATGACTGGATTGTTTAATGATTGGGTTGCTTAATGACTAGATTGGATTATTTAATGATTGGATTGCTTAATGATTGGGTTGTTTAATGATTGGATTGTTTAATGACTGGGTTGTTTAATGGCTGGATTGTTTAATGATAGGATGGATCGTCTTTAGAGAGATTGGGATGGGTTAGACTTGCATAGTGTCATCTGTCATAATAGCTCTCTCTCTCTCTCTCTCTCTCTCTCTCTCTCTCTCTCTCTCTCTCTCTCTCTCTCTCTCTCTCTCTCTCTCTCTCTCTCTCTCTCTCTCTCTGTCTCTCCTTGTCTCTCTCTGTCTCTCTCTCTCTCTCTCTCTCTCTCTCTCTCTCTCTCTCTCTCTCTCTCTCTCTCTCTCTCTCTCTCTCTCTCTCTCTCTCTCTCTCTCTCTACCCCAAAAACTGTCCGTTTAAGCGTATAACCAAACCGTTAAGACTCACTCCTGACGCAGATCTTCTCGAAGTAACTCTTGCCGGGGGCGCTGATGATCTCTTGGCCGCGGCCCTGGGTGTTGCGGTCAAGCTTGAAACAGCGAGAATTGCGGTAGTCAACCGCGAAGGCTGGGCACTCCCCTGTGTCCTCGAGGCAACGCTGCCCGCATTTCTGTAACGGCAAGGTATGTGAACACATCCACAAGGGGCCGTGATTAGGGTTCGAACCTACGACAGGGTTAAAAGAATTGATGACCAGACCACACACTAGAAATTGAAGAGACGACGACGTTTCGGTCCGTCCTGGACCATTCTCAAGTCGATTGTCTTGAGAATGGTCCAGGACGGACCGAAACGTCGTCGTCTCTTCAATTTCTAGTGTGTGGTCTGGTCATCATACTTCAGCCACGTTATTGTGACGCATCGCCTGCTTAAAAGAATTGCAACCGGGAGTGTTACTGCTCTCACTAGGGTCCCGAAGCTTCATGTGGGCATGTGGTTGGTGTGGTGCAAGGTATGTGGTTAATGTGGTGCAGGGGTATGTGGTTAATATGGTGCAGGGTATGTGGTTGGTGTGGTGCAAGGTATGTGGTTAATGTGGTGCAGGGTATGTGGTTAATATGGTGCAGGGTATGTGGTTAATATGGTGCAGGGTATGTGGTTGGTGTGGTGCAAGGTATGTGGTTAATATGGTGCAGGGTATGTGGTTGGTGTGGTGCAAGGTATGTGGTTAATATGGTGCAGGGTATGTGGTTGGTGTGGTGCAAGGTATGTGGTTAATATGGTGCAGGGTATGTGGTTGGTGTGGTGCAGGGGTATGTGGTTAATGTGGTGCTTGGTGGGGGACGCTATGTGGTGGCATGTTGTCGATTATACGGTGTATAGTATGAGGTCATGTGGCCCAGAATATGAGGTACAGCAAATATACAGCCAGTCCTGTTCTGAATTAAGTAACTAGTGTGTCCTGAGCAGAATCAGTGTCTTGAGCTAAATTCATATTTCACACTAACCTGTACAAACCCCATTAAGACCTCCACTGACCTCCTTGAGACCTTCAAAGACCTCGTTAGGACCTCCGCTGACCTCGTAAAGACCTGTACTAACCTCGCTGAGGCCTCCTGGCGTAGTATCGAGCTGGTAGAGGGTCTCTCTGGCTGTCCGTACCGTCTGCCCGGTGATCTTCTCGTAGATGATCGACCCTTGGTCCCTCTCACACTGACCTGATGGACCAACCGATATACGCCATTCAGACTCGTATTGTGAGGGGAGGGAAGGTGAGGTTGAGGGGAGAAAACCGAGTTAGGATGATTATATAGCACTTGGAACGGATATGAGGACAAGAAGTTGAGATATGAGGACAACTAGCTGGGATATGAGGATAAGGAGCTAGGATATGAGGACAAGGAGCTGAGATATGAGGACAAGGAGCTGAGATATGAGGACAAGGTTTTGGGATATGAGGACAAGGAGCTGGGATATGAGGACAAGGAGCTGGGATATGAGGACAAGGAGCTGAGATATGAGGACAAGGAGCTGGAATATGAGGACAAGGAGCTGAGATATGAGGACAAGGAGCTGGGATATGAGGACAAGGAGCTGAGATATGAGGACAAGAAGCTGGGATATGAGGATAAGGAGCTAGGATATGAGGACAAGGAACTGGGATATGAGGACAAGGAACTGGGATATGAGGACAAGGAACTGGGATATGAGAACATGGGGCTGGGATATAAGGGCTCACTGACATGGGGCTGGGATATAGAGAACAAGGGGCTGAGATAAGACGAAAATAAAGAGCAGTATCAAACCACTTGAACCATCGGGGGATCGAACGCAGACCTGCAGGAAGCTAGATCTCCACTGTACAAACAAACCCAAATAAATGGCCATCATCACCATAACATAAAGTAGAAAAAAAGTTAGAAAAGGCTCGAAAACTGAACCCCAAAGTTCATTATGCTTAGTAAGTTCCAAGCTTGATAAAAGCTTCACATTTTCACAAATCTCTCGATAATGGGTTCGAAACCCGGGCCACCAAAGCCACTTGAGCTAAACAAAAGAGTATCGTGAACTACTTGTTATAAAGTATCGATTATAAGCCCCCTATAATTGAAGGAAAGATATACAGGTTTCGTAAATTAGTCACTTTAAAAGTGCTCTGTGAATCCTGGCGTATATTTAGGGTTATGTGAAAAGGAATTATAGAGAGAAAAAGAGAGGATTTGAACCTCTATAATGTGACGGATCCTCTATTAGCGAGTTGCTTTTCATTTTTCTGTAATGCTCTTTTGTTCAACAGGCGAGGAAATTTTGGTCATGGTTTGCATATGAATTTATTTCGATATCTTAATGATAATAAGTTTTGTGTGATATCAAATGATCTTCCGACACTGTGTGTGTGTGTGTGTGTGTGTGTGTGTGTGTGTGTGTGTGTGTGTGTGTGTGTGTGTGTGTGTGTGTGTGTGTGTGTGTGTGTGTGTGTGTGTGTGTGTGTAATTAGCTAAGTGTAATTACCTAAGTGTAGTTACAGGATGAGAGCTACGCTCGTGGTGTCCCGTCTTCCCAGCACTCTTTGTCATATAACGCTTTGAAACTACTGACGGTCTTGGCCTCCACCACCTTCTCACTTAACTTGTTCCAACCGTCTACCACTCTATTTGCGAAAGTGAATTTTCTTATATTTCTTCGGCATCTGTGTTTAGCTAGTTTAAATCTATGACCTCTTGTTCTTGAAATTCCAGGTCTCGGGAAGTCTTCCCTGTCGATTTTATCAATTCCTGTTACTATTTTGTATGTAGTGATCATATCACCTCTTTTTCTTCTGTCTTCTAGTTTTGGCATATTTAATGCTTCTAACCTCTCCTCGTAGCTCTTG